CAGGGACACAGACACACCACCAGTGGCTCTGACATGGGGCACAGGACACACCACCAGTGACTGGAGACACACCACCAGTGACACTGACACGGGACACACCGTCAGTGACAGGGAACACAGCAGCAGTAGCTCTGACACGAGACACAGGACACACCACCAGTGACAGGAGACAGACCACCAGTGACAAGGACACACCATCAGTGACATGGGACACACCACCAGCGGCTCTGACACAGCACACACCACCAGTGAGAGTGACAGACAGCACCAGTGACAGGGGACACACCTGCAGTGGCTCTGCCAGCTGCAGCCAGCCACAGGACGAGACTGAGCCCCAAGTGCTGCTGCAGGAACTGAGGCTGGCACAAGACACAGTCCCAGAGTCTGGGCTGGAAGGGGCTCAAATGCCACCCGTGGGCAGGGCCACCTCCCTGGAACTGGTGCCTTCATTTCAGCTCCCGTGTCTCCCAGGCTCTGCACTGCACTGGTGAATAACTCTGAGCTCCACACAAGTGCCACCAGCTCTGCTCACAGATCAGCACACTGAACAATCCTGAACCAGCCCAGAACCAGCTCAGGCACCCAGAACAATCCTGAACCAGCCCAGAACCTGCTCAGCACACTGAACAATCCTGAACCAGCCCAGAACCAGCTCAGGCACACAGAACAATCCTGAACCAGCCCAGAACCAGCTCAGCACACTGAACAATCCTGAACCAGCCCAGAACCAGCTCAGCACACAGAACAATACTGAACCAGCCCAGAACCAGCTCAGCACACTGAACAATCCTGAACCAGCCCAGAACCAGCTCAGCACACAGAACAATCCTCCCACCTGGGAGGTGGGACTGCAGCACCTGGAGCTGGAATTGGGCAATGAACCCCAGTGTGGAAAGGACCAAAACTCATAGAAGTGTGAGAACTCCTGACCCAGGGTCCATCTTGGGTGCAGCCTTGGCCAGGCTCCTGCGCTGCCCAAGGTGTGTCCTGTGGGGGCTTTTAATAAATCCCTGCTTTATCCTTGACCTCTGCCCAGCCTCTGCTCCAGAGGCCCCTCAGGCATCACCACCATGCCAGGCCAAGCCCTGGCCTTGGACACTTCCACGGATCCAGGGGCAGCCTCAATCAGAGTTTAATTCATGTAAATTCAATTTTGCACACAACCTTTGCTTTTAAGAGTCACAAACACAAAGGTAGTGGTTGTTCAATGTAAAAACAGGTGCACAGTGTGCTAATAACATCATAAACCTTGAAGGGACACTAGACAAATTCTGGCCACCTTTTGAGCACCATCAGTAGGAGCTTCTACTCTTAACATTTTCCTACTGGATATTTTAAAGGCAATTCAGTGCCAAAATGTACCCAGAAAAGGGGTTTTGGGGACAGGAGGGAGTCGGTCTGCTGTTAATGCATTGTAAAATTTCAGATCCTGATCACACTAAAACCCTCTGATGTTTCATGAATCTCCCTAACAAATTCTAGATGAAAAACAATCAGCTGAATCCCCAGTGAGGCATTAAAACCCCTCCAGCCCCAGCCCCACAGTACTGATCTTCCCAAGCACCTCAGGCTGTTCACTGCACAAATAGATTATATTTTGAAATTGTCCCACTCCATTGCACAAATATGTGAAGAGTTTACTGTCCCAGCTTACCAGAATCGAGCAAGGATGAACACTTTGACCTCTTCAAACTGGATGTTCTTTTCAGGGGAGGGTTCAAGGCCACATTTTCTAAGGACAAAGATCCATTTCTTGGCGATGTCAATAAATCCCCACAGAGATTAAACCCTAGGAAAGAAGGAAATGTCTGAATTACAATAAAATCAACCAAAACCAAGTTAAAACCCAGTATTACCAGCCCTAATTTCCATTTCAGCAGCATTGAACAGGGAATATTCATTTAAGACAAATCCTCATCCTCACTTTCTGCTGTGAGTTTCTCTGGTTCACTCATACTCAGTCTAATCCTTTCCCAAGGGAATTCCTCCTTCCCTTCCACATCTTTGCCTTCCTGCTGCTCTTTATGGTTGTGTTCTTTGTCTTCTTTCCTCTTCCTCCTCAGCTTCTCCTGAGCAGATTTTGACAAGGTCACTTTTATCTGCAAAATAAAATCATGCATAAGTTACCCCAGAACTGATTCCCCAGTTCCTGATGCTGGCCAAGGTCAGCATGGAAAAGCAGGATTTTCTCTGATCTGACCCTTCTCTCTCTCCTGTGTTTATGACATCTTTTGTGCCTCAGGAAAACTCAGCAAATAAATTTAATCCAGTTAAATTTATGTTCAGTTTAGTAAATTTAATCAATTTACTGATTTGAATCTGATCCTGCCAAGGGTTCACATGTTCAGGGGAAATCAGAAAATTAAGACATTGTTAATCATAAACTTCAAGTATTAGTATTCTTCAAATGTTATTTTAAAGGCTTGCAGAAGGAGTTCCATTTCAATGTTTTTTTGACTTTGTATCACATTTCACTCAGATAAATCTTGCTCCATTTACATTTGCAAATAGCTTTTAACAAATAGCACCACTCCTCAGAGACCAGATTATGGCCAAATATTCGGGAAGGTTTTTAAGAAAAATTTCTGATTGGAGCTGGATTAATTCATCCATGAGGAAAACCGGACCTGATCCAACCCAGCCAACCCCTCCTTCCACATCTGCTTGTGCTGTGGGAGTCAGGGGGGGCATTTCCCAGCTCCACTCCTTCCTGCAGCTCTTCTCCAGGGATCTGAGCACGGTGGGAAGCTCCTGGCACATCCATCTGCCATCCAGGTGGCACCAAAAGAAAATCAGGAGCAGCAGCTCGACGGCTGTGGCTGTTCCAGTCAAACTCCTGCTGCCCCAACACAGAGTGTGACTGAGCAGGGCTGGCTGCACCCCACACCCCCAGGCTGGGCAGTGCTTACCTCTCCTTCATTCCCTGCATGGCAACGGGAATGGGAAGGGCTGTTCTGCTGGAAGCTTCTCCCTGGGGCTGCCTCTGCCCCCTCCCTGGCATCCTGGGCATCCTCACTGGCCACACAGGGCATGGACTGGCTGGGAGCTGGGGCAGGAGGGCTCCCAAAAACACCTGGAGGGCAGAACACGGCGTCACAGACTGCTTTGGGATGGAAGGGACAGCAAACCATCTCATTCCACAGATGCCACGACTGGAAGTGTCTATCCAGGAACTGCAACACTTTCAAACATAATTCTTTGTATTCCCACTGAACTGGGGATTGTGAACAATCTACAACATTGTACAGATCTTCTTTTCCCACTCCAGAAAGGCACATTTTCCCTCATTTCGTGACTCAAAGAGACACAAAGGATGATTTGGGGTCTGTAGTACCTCTGCCAACAACAGCAACGTCTTCAGATGTGAAACCCAGATGGTTCCTGGGTGCAAAACCAGACACTGACTCTGCAGGGCCTGAAAGCACAAAGAGCATTCACTGTCAGTCGTGTTGGTCATGCTTTGGGATGTGTTTCATCCTCCTAAAATGTCACCCCACATCTGACTGATCCCTTTCCTGAACCAGGGCATTGCCAGGTTACTGAAGGCAGCAGGATCTGTTGAACACCCACATGAGGGAAGTTCACATCCCACTGGCAGGAGCCTGGAGCCAGCCTGGGAATGCTCCCCTGGAGAGGAGAAGCTCCAGGGAGAGCTCAGAGCCCCTTGCAGGGCCTGGAGGGGCTCCAGGAGAGCTGGAGAGGGGCTGGGGACAAGGATGGAGGGACAGCCTGTGGACACAGCTCCCTCAGCTCCTTTCCTCCATGCAGTAGAACCAAAACTGATTAAACACAAATAATCCCACCTGCACTGCCCTGGGAGGGTGAAACACACCAGCAGCACTTCACCTCAATTCCCACAGGAAACGAGCTGCTTGCAAGCCTGGATCTCCTCACCTGAGCACCCTGAAATCCCAGTTTGGCCCCAGAACAGCTGGAAATTCCATTTGTAAGAGCTGGGGGATGTGGGCTCACTGCCCACACCAAGGTTCCTCAGGTGAGTATCGACAGGAACATACCTGTGCTGGGGGGATGCTCTGCCCCCTCTGTGTCTCTGGGCCTTGCTGGAGATACTTTTGCAGGATGGGATTTGCTGCCAAGTGCTGGAAAAGTGTCTGACCTGTTCAGATAAGCACATTGTATAGGTGCAATTCTGCACAACAGTCAAAGTCATGCCAAAAACAACAACAGATTTCAGTTTCTCTGTGGCAAAACTATTTCCAGTATTCCCACAAATGTTCACACTGAGCAGGAACAGAATTCAGTGGAAATTATTTGATAAGCAGGTCCATTATGAAGAACACCCTCAAGAAAACCCTTATGAGGAAGCCTTACACTAGGACTAAATTTAGGAAACACCCATAAGGTAAAGAATTGTTTGGCCTGGGGATTGATGATGCTGGATCCAACCTGGCCAAAGACAGTGACCAAATCCTCCTGCCACAACAGAGCTGTTCCCAGCTCAGCAGAGACATTCACCAGGAAAATGCTCTTATCTACAAGAACAACTTCTAAATGACTTAAAATTTAAAATGATTCTCTGGATATGAAAGATGAAACCCAGAGCCAGTGTAATACCCACAACTAAAGACTCTTTTAAGGTCCAGGGGAAGGCCCAAGCTCCAGTAATGTCCCTAATTCCTGTGTCCCATCACTCATGGCAGTTTATCAGCAGACAAACCAAACCCTTCCCAAAGCAAATACTCCAAAACCCCCATTCCTGGTGCCCAGCCACAGATTTTGGGAATAGACAATGTCAGTTTGTGCCAGTGCTCACAAACCCCCTGAGCTGACCCCTGGCATTTTTCTGAGCATTCCAAGGCTTTCAGCGTCCCCTGGGATGGACTCTTGTCCTATCTCAGGTGACTGCCAGGTCTCTCCTCTCCTCCTGGCTGGTTCAGAACTCCCCTGGCTGAGGATGCAGTGAAGTACCAAGCACTGGATAATGGATGTGGCGATGTTGTACAGAGCATGGCTCAGCCCAACCTGTTACCTTGATTCTTAAGATTTTCTAAAGCCTTCTAAGTTTACATTCTGTTAAAAAACTTTCCCACACATTTTCTATAAACAACATATTGTTTTACATTCCTTCGTAAAGGTAGAAAAATTTAATATATTAATAGTTTATCCAATGTCTTTAAAGAGGTAACCCATTCACTCTCCAATCCACTATCACCTTTAAAAAAGTATAAAACCTAGAGTCAAAATAATAAACAAACTTCCTTTTTTTACCTCGTCATCGTGGTGGCTCGTGTTGTACTTTTTCGTGTCCTGTAACAACACAAACCAGCACACCCAGGGCTCCACTTGACTTCTGAAGGATTTCAGCACTTGAATGTGGGATTTTAAAGATTATTTTTAAAAATGTGATTCAGCAGTAATGCACACCAGGAAGGGATGTGAATATAAATTAGTTCTGGGCTGCACAACAGAAAACCTTCTGTTTGTGAATCACTGCAGGTTCCTTCTGCCTCAAATCCCTTTGGTTTTTACATTTCCTGTTTTGCTTTCTGTTGTTAATGCAGTTCTGTGTCAGTTATATGTAAGATTCCCTGCTCATGGCAGGGCTGGAATTAGGTGATTTTTCAGGTCCCTTCCAACCCAAACCACTCTGGGATTCTGTGCGTCTACAAAAGCTGCTTTTAGTACACACAGAAATATCTTCAGAGAAGAGCTACCAAGAGCTTCATCATTGGCTCAGAGCAGAGAGGAGATTTTGGACTGGCAAATTTGCAGAATTCCTCAAAACTCTTTTTATTTCATTGAACAATAGCTTATACTGCTCATAACCAACTGGGTTGCTGCGCTGTAAATCAGAGCAGCATTTGTCACCACCCAATTTCTATTTAGGAGAGCTCTGGGAAGGCATTTTAAATTCAATTATCTCTCAGGAATAAATGGAACCAGCTTTTGATCCACAATAAGAAACATCTGCATTGTCTTCCTCTTCTCAACAAACCCAATTCAATTTCCAGGCTGCAGTAACCTGACCTTATCCTTCCTCTTCCCTCTTGTCCTTCTCACTCCCCCGTTCAGCTCTGGCAATGTTCCTGCAGTGCCAGGGAATGTCTTTATCAAATATTTACTGCCCCTGGCACTGCCTCCCTGCTCTGCCTACTGCAGCCTCATGTTAGAAGCCAGAAAAAAACAGAATAATGTCATTTAGCAGCTCTTGTCTTTTTAGAGAGGAACATAATTCACAGAGAAAAATCAGGCTATTAAGCACGCAATCCTCTATTAAACACGTAGCAGTTAAAATCATGATTTCACTAAGCTGTGCGGGGATTTCCAGGCTGAGGTGACACCAAGTGACACTCACATCACTCTCCTCCTGGGGGGCAGCGTGGCCACGGGGGAGCCCAGGGATTCCTGGCTGGAAATTCCGCTCTCGCCGGTGGGGGAGGAGCCCTGCGAGGGGCAGTCCCCGGAAAATTCGAGTTTCACCCCGGAGTCGGGGCTCTCCAGGTCGGCGATGCTGCTGCTCAGCTTTGCCCTCTTCTTGGCCGCGCTGTTCCGCAGGGACCTCAGGGAATTCTGCATCTGCACAGCGGGGAGAAGGGACAGGGGCACTCACTGCAGAGGGAAAAAGCTTTCTGCAGCTAAATGAGGTCTGTTCATGGGGTGCACGAGGCCCTGCTGGGCGGTGTGATCAGCACACACACGGTTTTTGGGCAATTATAATGATCCCTCTCCTGGCTTCACACAGAATCCCTGGGCTGGAAGAGACCTTCAAGACCATCGAGTCCAACCCAGCCCCAACACCTCAACCAAACCCTGGCACCCAGTGCCACATCCAGGCTTTGTTAAACACACCCAGGGGTGGTGACTCCACCACCTCCTGGGCAGAACATTCCAGAACTTTATCACTCTTTCCATAAAGAATTTCTTCCTGATATCCAGCCTGAATTTCCCTTGGCACAGCTTAAGGCTGTGTGCTCTGGTTCTGTCAGTGCTGTCTGATTTATTTCACAGGAATTATCCTGCAAGCAAACACGGTTTCACAGCAGTGCTGTGCCCCAGCTTCCCTCTTCAGGGCACAGGGACAGATTCCTGCTGGAACACACCAAATCCGTGCTTTTCAGTGGATTAAAGGAGGGGTTTGATGGCTGCCAGCACACACAGTGAGACCTCAGGTTTTTCCCAGCAAATCTGCACTTACTAAAAACAGAACCATGGAATGGTTTGGAAAGGACCTTAAGGATCATCCCATTCCATCTCTGCCATGGCAGGGACACTCCCCACTGTCCCAAGGCTGCTCCAACCCCAGTGTCCAGCCTGGCCTTGGACACTGCCAGGGATCCAGGGGCAGCCACAGCTGCTCTGGGAATTCATCCCAGACCCTCCCAGCCAGGAATTCCTTCCCAATATCCCATCTAAACCTCTTGTAAATCATGCAATCAGTGTCCAGCAAGCAGAGATCCTACTCAAATCAGCAGGAAAATCTGTAATTACTAGTGTTTCGTGCTGCAGCATTATCCCCTCTTTTTGCTGAGTATTTTTCATATTTTGTTTAGAAATTTCTCCTCTGTTTAACACCTCAGGTTCCCTTCAGTGGGAACCAGAGGGTGGAAAGCACAGAAAGAAAGGCAAAGCCAGGAATTCACAGAATCCCAGACTGGTTTGGGATGGAAGAAATCTGAAATTTCACCTTGTCCCACGTGCGGGGACACCTCCCACCAGCCCAGGGTGCCCCAAAGCCCTGGACGCTCCCCGGGATGGGGAGCACTGTGAAAAGTGCACTGATCCCATCTCACCCACCTCCTCTTGGTCCACCTCCTCAGGCTGCAGCTGCAGCTCTGCCAGCCCCGCTGCCAGCTCCGTGCCCTCCCTGCTGCCGGGGGGCTCCCGGGGGCTGGGCAGCCGCGGG